CTTTTTTATTTATACTCTGATTATAACAAAAAATATACCAAAATTCATAACTTTTTATTATCTTTCATATGACACCAATATTGAATATATAAAATCAAAAAATCATTTACCACTTTAAATATTACTGCATATCTGATTTTAAAGTGTCACATATTTTTTTATTTGTATTCCGATTATTACAAAAAATGAAAAAATATATCAAAATTTATTATTTTTTGTTATCTTTTATATGGAAGCGATGTTTCATATAGAAAAATAAAAATAAAATATATGAGTTTATGTAGTTTAGGATCATTTTTTACTATGCGCTCCAGATTTTTATATATTCAATATTGATGTCATATGAAATAAAACAACATAAATTTTTGTGCGAAAACTATATAAATAAATGTGATGGAGTTCGTGTGACTTTGTTGTAATCTATCAGTACTCTTGATTAATTATGTGCATGGTAAAAAACGATCCTAAACTACACAAATTAATATATTTTCTTTTTATTTTTCCATATGAAACATTACTTCCCGATAAAAGATAATGATGATGATGATGATGATGATGATGATGATGATGATGATGATGATGATGATGATAAAATTTGATATACTCCCTCCGTCCCAATATAAAATGCACATTTTCCTTTTTGGGCCGTCCCAATATAAAAGGCGCATTTCCCTTTTGTCAAACAAAACAGTGTCAAACACTGCCAAACAGTGTCCAAACAGTGCCAAACGGTGTTCCCCCCTAAAAATGTGTGTAAAAGCAAATGTGCCTTTTACATTGGGATGTAGGGACTATTTTTTTTTATAATATTCAGAATACAAATAAAAAATATATAGCACTTTAAGAAAAGATACACAGTAATATTTAAAGTGTTAAATGATTTTTTTATTTTATATATTCAATATTGGTGTCATATGAAAGATAATAAAAAGTTATGAATTATGGTATATTTTTTGTTACAATCAGAGTACAAATAAAAAAGTTATATCAATTCAAAGAAAACAGGAGATATTTATTTGTGGTGTGACCCAATATCATTTATGGTTGTCTTTGGCTTGGCTTTAGCATTACGATGGCTAGCAGCGGGAGCTGTTTATTGTTTTAGAAAAGCCGCCACTTGAAGTGGCGGCTCGTGTACTGTAAGAGAAAAGCCGCCACTTCAAGTGGCGGCTCTCCTTAACCACGGTTAATCCAACAGTATTTCGAGAATTATTTTTAACCCAGCAGTATTTTGGAAATTATTTATTTGTTTAGCATTATTCTGGGAAAAAACTCATATTTTTTAGTAAAATATTTCCATTAAACCCAAAATGCCTTCATTCATCCCTCTAGTGCGCCGCTTGATTAAAGATTTCAATTAAACCCAAATCATTCATCCCGGATCGGGATTCTCTACCGGGCTTTGGCAGCCAGGTAGGGTGCGTGACTGTTAGAGCCGCGCGATTCACTCTCCTTTCCGCAGCTCTCTTCGATCTTCTCTGTTGCTTGCCGTTGGATTGCCGCAAGGCACCTCTGCCGTGGAGGATCCAAATCCATTCATCCCTCTATCTACTGCATTGCATCTCTCTGCTACACCACATCCTCTTTGTCATTTTCCATCACTCTTTTATCTTCTCCAAAAATGAACAGACACAAGAAAATGCCTTCCCCTTTCTTCTACAACTATGGTCGCACTGTCTGGACCGTTCCAATTTGTTCTATTTCATGGGTTTCAGTCAATTGCTAAAGAGGGCCGAAGCTCAATTTTACTATTCGGCTCCTTGAATCCTTCCCTATTATTATCGACAGAGACTGTTGGAGGTATTCGTCCTACCAAGGCCTTCCTTCCACTTTATTTGTTGAGGCTTGCACACTATATTTTACTCTCTCTTGGATACCTATTCTTTGGTATATATCCTGATCAAATATATACCTATTTTGAGAGGTTGACTTACCCACTTGGCTGGCCCCTTTGTTTGCTGACCGCTGCATCCTCTTTTGTCTTGGCTTTTACATGTGACTTTCCCTTGTCTATGTAGCATGTGAGTGTTTGTTGTTTTGACCTCACCCGTGACTTCTCTTCTAGCTGGCAGCCTAGTATTTGTACCCCTTGCTTCTCCCATTGTGAAGCAGCCTGCGAGAGTGTTGTATCCCAGAGAGCAGAGCTCCCTTCTTCCTCCTTTGTGTGAGAGTAGAGAGGTCCTTAGTGGAGAGTAATATTTGGGTGTGCTATAGCTTCCTCTTAGTGTGGTGTGTGAGAGTGTGTGTAGATAGACCTGAGCCAGAGACGGAAGTAAACGGTCCTTACAGTGGTATCAGAGCCTGGAACCGCTGTCTGCCGCCGTCCGCCGCCGTCAGCCACCGCCATCGATTGGAGCTTGCCGAAGGTCCTGGAGCTGCCTGGTCATTCGCACAAGCTCACTGAGGTCACTGTTCGCTGAAATCGAGGTCGCCGGGAGCTCAAACTGCCATAGCCAGAAGCTCGCTCGCCGCCGCAGAAAAACTCGCCAGAATCAGTCGCTGGAGCCGCCGGTCTCGTGGTTGTTCGCCGGTCACCGTTTCGTCGTCGAAGGGCTCCGCCATCGAGGTCGCTGGTGCTGAGTTCGTTGATTCGCAGAAGATAGACGAAGACGCTGGTGACTCCCTAGTTCGCATCTGGAGCGAGGAAGACGAAGGACGAAGAGCATTGATACGCTCTTTGTTGGTCCGCTGGGTTTGCTGAAGAGGATTGGAACGAAGCAGAACCGGCAATCAACTTGGACTGCCTCTGGGCCGAGGCTAACTGCTGTGTTTTTTGGGCTTCTGAACCTGGGCTGAAGCTGAGTTTCTGGGTTGCTGATTTTGGAGCTGTTGCTGAGCCAGTGGACTATTGGGCCGAGTTGAATTGGACTGCTGAGGAGCTGGTCTGGGCTGGTGCTGCTGGAGTTGGACTTGGACTACTGGACCGGGTCAACTGGTCAACGCCAGTCAACCGCCGCCGGTCAACGCCGGTCAACGGCAGTCAAACCTCCAGTAAAATCCCAATTTTTTTAAAAAAATTGGGTAGGTAAGGTCGAAACGCTCTCCTAGGGTTTCGCGAAGGTAAGTTTTCTTTAAACTTCATATTTGTAATTTTCCGGTTTTAATTTAATTTAATTTATTCCCCCTCCCCGCGGGCCGCCGGTTGATTTAATCCCGCCGCCAACCCCCCAGGTACGTTCTAAACCTTCTCCTTTGTGGTAGACTGTTTTAGTTGATTAATTGAATTGCTAAGTGTTATTTAATTTAATTATTATGTGTAGGGGTGATTTATTGGGTGGTAGGGGTAGAATTAATTAATTTTAATTTTTCTGCCCGAAATTGTTTAATTGCCAAAATGTCCTTATTTGTTATGTGTTGCATGCTGCCCGGGGTTATTAAAGTGAATACTTTATAGCCCGGGTTGGATTATTTTCTGTCAATTCTGTCTGTTTAGCTTTGTGTTCTTTTGTGGTTGATACCATGGCTGCGAATCAGTATGGTATGCTTCCATTTAATGGAAAAACAGATTTTGATATTTGGAAACAGAAAATAAAGTGTGTTTTAATACAACAAAAAGTTTTCAGAGCTGTCACTGGTATTTTCCATGAATCAGAAGATAAGGCTAAGCAAATTGAAATGAACGAAACTGCTTGTTCTACTATTTACTTGAATCTGTCTGATTCTGTGCTTAGGAAAATGGGTATTCTTGAGTCCGCTAAGGAGTTGTGGGAGAAATTGGATAATCTCTATACTGATACCTCTTTGCCCGGGAAGTTGTTTTTACTAGAGAAATTCTTTAGGTTTAGGCTTGACCTGACTAAGGATGTAGATGAGAACCTGGATGTGTTTAATAAACTGATACAGAATATCAAACAGGCAGGTGATAAACACATAGATGATTATACTCCCATAGTGTTACTTAATGCCATTCCCGACTCTTATAATGATGTTAAGTCCGCTATTAAGTATGGTAGGGATGAGATTTCGTTAAACATTGTTGTGAATGGGTTAAGGAGTAAGGAATTAGACCTGAAGCATGCTAGGGGTAGTGCTAGTCAGTCCAGGGACTCCGGTGAGGCTATGTTTGTTAGAGGTAGATCTAAGGGCAGGTCTAAGAACTCTAAGCAAAATAGTCAGGGTAAGAACACTAGTCAGCCTGGGAGGAAGAGGAGCAAATCTAGGAAGAGAGTGTGTTACAATTGTGGTAACACTGGCCATTTCATTAAGGATTGCCCCCACCCTAAGAAGACCGAGCATGCTAGTGTAGCTGTTGATAAATGTGACCTTGGTGATATTTTGATGGTTTGTGACCATGTTAACTCTGTGAGAAATTCCCTGTCTGAGCATGAATGGTTGATTGACTCTGGTTGTACCTATCACATGTCCCCCTTTAGAGATTTGTTTTCTACATATGAATTATGTGATAGTGGCTACGTTTCCTTAGCTGATAATAAGAGATGCAATGTGCTTGGTGTTGGTGATATATGTCTGAAATTTTCTTGTGGCTCTATGTTTACCATTAAGAATGTGAGGCATGTCCCTGATTTGTGTCATAACTTGTTATCTGTTGCTGCTTTGGAGAGTAGTGGGTTACAGTGAAAATGGGGGAATGGTTGTATGAAAATCCTAAAGAATTCGCTTGTTTTGTTTAAAGCTGAGAAGGTGAATAACCTTTATGTGTGTCATGCTAAACCTCACTAGTAGAAAAAGGGCTTATAGTGACACTAATTTAGTGTCACTGAAAGTTTTTATGACACTAAAAAAGCGTCGGGAAAGGTGGGGGCTAGTGACACTAAATATAGTGTCACTGATCGTAAGACAAAATAGTGTCAGTAAATTATGACACATTAATGTGATGCAAGATTATGACACATTGGTATCATAAAACGTTGCGACACCTTGGTATCATAAAAATTTACGACACATTGGTGTCATATAATTACAATAATATTATTATTATAATCATTGTAATATTTCGTTCTAGTTTTATTATAGATTATATAAATATTAATAAATAGCCAAATCAAAAGAACAATAATTGTATTTATTACTCAAATTATTTTACAATGTCAATATCAATAAGTACTACACACGTAGTGTATTACAAGATGCTATAAATCTATACTTTAATCATACAACATTTTTATATGCTACACACTAGACATCATAATTCCTTGCATCGCCATCATAATCCAATAAAACAAGTCTTCGGAGTACTTCTCAATATTTGGTTCAACATAGCTAGCCTGCATGATTTTTTTAACTTTGCCACATTATAAGTAACAAAAATGAACAAAATAAAGCCACCATTAATACTCTATAGCATCAATTTGGAGCTAATACTCTACCGAATCTGCTATTTTTGGACTTGAGCTACTCAACAAAAACTCTTTGGCTGGAAATCAAATCACAAATCAGATCTGCAAGAGAGCCAAATAAGATATAGATCAAACCAATGTTTTTTGGGCATCAGAAATAACTGCACAAGTACCCCATTTTGATTATACTACACATTTTGAACAGATTGTTAACGAAATAAGTACCCCAAAACTAGTAATGATGTGGGTATAAGAATTCATATGACGAGATCAAAGTCAAACCATAAACTTCTCATAGGAAAATTATGTTTTTTGCTAAATCTGACCGGTCAAAATATCAGTTCCCTAACGATAAGTGTATTAATGTAATAATGTGTTAGCTTCTATGAAATTTTGATGTTAGCAAAGGATGAGGAAAAAATATTTGTTATATTGTGTAGTAGCTTCTTTTTCTTTAATTCAATTTAGAATCACTTGAAACCTAAAACTAAAAAAGAAAAACAATACAAGGACAATATTTATCCAAAACCTGAAGTGGAACACAGAAAAAATTGGCAACTCTGTTCATCCCAGGCGCAGTTAAATTTTTGCAGGAGCCAAACTCACACGGGCAGCCTCCAAAAAATGTGGCACAGGCTCAAGGAGGTCAACCTGGATCCAAGAATACTCATATTAAAGTGGACAAAATGAATTAATCTTCAACAGGAGATTTCTTGCAAGCATGTGATCGGGCTGAACTTGCAAGTGTACAAGTGCCGATATAGTAATAAATTCCGGTAAAATACCGGGTCGAATCCACAGGGAAACGTTGTTTAATTTAGTCCGCGAGTAGATGACTTTGAATAAGTAAATGAGTAAAGTGTAGGGATTTTGAGTTGTGTGTTGTTGTGAAAACAACAACTTGGTTCTTCTTTTTAATTTTCAGAGATATAACTTGAATTAATTTGATTAAAGTGATTGATAACAACAACTAAGGCTTCGGGAATCACTTAAATGCTTTAATAGGGTTGAATATTAGTTCTTTACCAATAATTATGAATACGATGTCGCTAATATATTCTCAACTCCGGTTAAGGCAGCGAGAGCGTGGTTTTCGTTACGTGTAAGTCCCGTTACGGCTTACATTCATCTACCGAAAACCCCGTTGAATATCAAGACATCACACCCGTATCATATAATACCGGATATATTTCTATTCTCGGTAATATATATGTTTATCCTTTAATGTTCATAGTTTAGACCTCAACGTTAATTGCAAGCATAAACTAAGTTTAACATACTTCTATGTTGTACACCATAGTCATAAACAATCAAAATGTAAAGGATAAATCACAATTTATTGGTTTAGAACTTTTATCAAACACCTAGTGGGCATAGAAGTTCATCCCTAGCCTTAGCTAAGAACTTAGCCTCTAATGCTCATATTAATTACAAAAGTGTAACTAAGATAAAGGAAATACAATAACATACAAGAAATAATACCTAGAACCAATTGTAGAGGAGAGAAATGGCTTCTTCTCCAACACTTCAAGAGAATGCAAAAATAAAATATAAAAACTGAAATTTAAGCTTCAAGGATGGATTGATGATCTTGTTTGATGAATTGGGGGCTTTATATAGGCTCAAGATTGACATCTTTTAGTCTATTCGAGCCCAACAATCAAGCATGGAAGATATATTTGATTAGCTCATGAGGAAGGTGAGTTTTTTCCATCAAAATATTTCAGCACGTTCTTTTGTATTTGCAGGATCAGACCTACCCGGCGCCGGGTTCAGGCCTACCCGGCGCCGGTTCTTCATTGTGCGCAGGGAAGTATGAAATTTTGGCCTACCCGGCGCCGGGTATAAGGCCTACCCGGCGCCGGGTAAGCTACTGGTTTGTGTACATGTGAAAATCAACAAACGGGCGCCGGTTTGGTGCAAATTCCGGTGTCGGTTTTGTCCTGGGATTTTGGGGATGTTCCGCTACGAATTTGGACATGATTCCTTCACCAAAGTTGTAGATAATGAAGTCTTCTATCCAACAAAACTTGAATGACATGATTTTATTCAGCCAATCAAGAGATATGGATAAAACACTGAGAGGTATGCATCCTGAAATCCCACCAGCAACATCTGACTTTGTTGGTTGATTGAGTCTTGTTCCTTTCATATTTTGGTCATGACGTCTTCATAACATTTGTACCTTATTGAGTTAGCATTCACATGAAACTCGAATCGAGTGATTTCGAGTTCTATAGAATACGTTATACTCAAATTATGGGCAGAACGTCATTCTCTTGGTCCAAAAAGTCGTTCATCGCAATGTTTTATGATCAAGCTCTCATTCTGGAGGTATTTGCCCGATTTCTCTTCTTTTCTTCAACACAAGTAAATATAACGGCTATCAAATCCCTCCACACTTGAGCATTGCTCGTCCTCGAGCAATTTCTTCACCTTGGATGCCTTGGTTAGTTTCAACAAAAATATATGCACAAAAATAATTTTATTTTTAAGGGAGGTATAAAATTATGTAAACTCCTTTATCATTCTCGGTCCAAAACCAAATTTCTATTAGACACACAAAACTATCATTAGATTTAGAAAAATTACTTATACACTTGAGAGTAGATGAGTGGATTGTGACTAAGACTTTTTGGGTGTGTAGAATGGCTTTTTGGTGTATTTGACTTTTCAGTATAGAATTGGATCAATTGGAGTTCTTGGGAGAGACCATGAGGTTTTTTTTTATAACTCATTTGAATTGGTTCTCAACAAGTATTTTCTGAAAGTCATTTTGATGATCCCAATTTATTTGATGAGACATGAGGGTGGCTTGTTTTCCAAAATGGTTCTTGAATATTTGAGATGTACTTAAACCATTTTTGGACATGGAAGAAGATGATGTTTCCTAGTCACAAGGTTTATTTTGGGAATGGTTTTCAAGAGTAAAAGTAGTGTAATAAATCTAAAAAAAATGATAGTTTATGTGAATAATAAAAACTTTCTCAACCAAATACCCATTAAAAAGAGAATTATCACAACTTTTACCTTCCTAAAAAAATATTATTTTGCACACAAAATTTGTTTAACTAACCATGAGATGCACCCCCCACACTTGAGATACATTGTCCTCAATGTACATTGGAGGATGTAATGGAAGATGAAATCTTCAATAGCGGAATGGGCCGTCTTGTGAGAGTAGGAGATGCATGATACATGAGTTTAGATGATGCTTCTTTTTCTTTTTCTTTTTTTTTTGTTTTTTTTTTTGTGTTTTTTTGTTGTTGTTTCAATTATAAATAAATATGAATATGTATTTAACTAAACATATTTATTTATAATTGAATTTGTTGGGTTGCCTCCCAATTAGCGCTCAGTTTAACGTCATAGGCCGGACGCAACGTACCTCTCACGTGTGATTGTGCTCCCGAAGACGTTTGACCAATGTTACCTTTTTGAGATCGTGGGGAGGCCATGGAGTTGGAGGCCTGTTCTTTTTGCTCTCGGGGTGTGTGGGAGGGTCCTCGGGCCCAAATATTTGTGCCTTCTTGATGTCCATGATGTTTATGGCCTTGGGAGGAGTAAAAGAATTTGTGTTGACCTCCATGTTTTGAGTTAGAATGGATTGTGTTTTCCATACATGGAATGCTTCATCATCTTCTCCCACTCTTAGTCTTACGGTGCCCGCTTGTACATCAATGACGGCTGCGGAGGTGGCCAAAAATGATCTCCCAAGGATGACAGGAACTTCCATCTCTTCCATGTCCAAAACAAGAAAATCTACCGGGAAGTAGAATTTTCCAAGTTTCACAAGGACATCCTCCATGATACCTATCGGATAGCGGATTGTTCTATCCGCTAATTGCAAAGCAACCGTTGTTGGTTGGAGTTCCCCCACACTTAGCTTTTTAAATAGGGAGTAGGGCATAAGATTTATGCTAGCACCAAGGTCACAAAGAGACCTTACCTCCCCGATTTTTCCAATAGAGCATGGAATAGTAAAGCTTCCGGGGTCTTTGAGTTTTGGAGGAAGTTTGTTTTGAATAATGGCACTACATTCCTCCGTTAGTGCTACAGTTGCAAATTCCTCTAACTTCTTTTTGTTGGAGATGATGCCTTTGAGAAATTTTGCGTATGATGGAATCTCCGCAATGGCCTCCGCAAAAGGTATGTTGATGCTCAATTTCTTGAATATATCAAGAATATTCTTGTGTTTCTTCTCATCTCCTTTCTTCTTCAACTTTTGTGGATAAGGGATGGGAGGAACATATTGAGGCATAATAGGTGGCAACGGTGTATGTGAAACCTCTTCTTGTTCCTCCGGTGTCTTTCTTCTCTCCGGCATCTTAGGATCCTCCGTTTGCCTCCCGCTTCTTGTGGTAATGGCCATGACGCTCTCCCTCGGGTTTACCTCCGTAGTTTTAGGGAGTTTACCTTGCTCTCTAGAAGTCACTTTTTGGGCGAGTTGCCCCAATTGAACTTCAAGATTTCGGATTGACGCCTTGGTATATTGCTCAATGGTGTCGATGCGTTGGTTGAGCTTTATATTTTGATCTTCAAAGCGAAGATCCAACTTGTTGAATTGAGAGTAGAGATTCCCAATGGATGCCTCCACTCTACTATGGTTCTCTTCATTTTGAGCCTTCATGCTTTCCATGCTCTTGGATATGAATTGCATCATATCCTCCATGGTGGTTTCCTTGGACGGCCCAAAATTAGGTGCTCCGGATTGGGGTTGTGGCTTCCAATTGCTCCCTTGGTTCCACCTTTGTTGATTAGAAGGATTATTGTTTCCCCGGTTCCCATAAGAGTTCATGAAATTTACCTCTTCAAGATGTTGAGATAAATTGCCTTCCGGACTTTGAATGCTCTCCACATTAGCTATTTGCTTGACTCCTCCCAATACGGCTTGAAGGGCCGTTTGGAATTTTTGCTCAATTTTTGATTCAATTTGTTCAAGCCTTTTGTTAATCTCGGTTGTGATAGAGATTTCATTCATCCCGACCACCTTGTAATCGCCTCCTTGAAGTTGAGGATTTGAGGCAATAGATTCAATGATTCGGAGTGCCTCAGTTTCATTTTTATTTCCAATGTAGCCCTCGGCTCGGTTGTCCACAATGGCTTGACAAGGTGCATTCAAACCATTGTAGAACGTGTCAATTTGAAGGTCTAGGGGAATGCGGTGATGTGGGCATTCCCTTAGCAATGATTTGAAACGCCGCCATGCGTCTTGAAAGAGCTCACCATTTTGTTGTTTGAAATTGAAAATGCGTTGTCTAAGCTCTTGAGTCATGGTGGGCGTGTAGTACTTAGACATGAAGGCATTGTATATACTTTCCCATGTTGTGTAGCTTTCCGGAGCTTGCTCTAGGAACCATCCTCTTGCCGCCCCTTTGAGAGTATAGGGGAAGCATTTGAGCTTGAGTTGATCCTCCGCCAAGCCATTTCTAGGGATTCCTTGAATGAATCCGTAGAACTCCGTGATGAAGTTGAGTGGATTTTCCCCAAGCAAACCATGAAACTGAGGCATAGCGTTGAAGTAGCTTTGCCTTAGCTCATAGTCTCTTGCTTCCTCGCTCAAGGTGATGCAAGATGGCGTAGCGGCCACCACGGGTCTCTTCCTCTCATTCAAAGTTGGCAACATTTTTGTAGCTTTTTGCTCCCTTCGAATGTGTTTGCAAGTTTTTTCTATTTCAAGATCAAGTGGTTCAAGAATTTTAGAACCTTGACCTCTCAATTGCATGCAAACACAAGGGAATATCTACACAAGAAAAAAAAATTCCTTCCAAGATCAAGTGAAGTTGTGAAAAATAAATTCAGGATTTTTGATTGGTTGATTGTTTGGACTTTATTAAACAAGACCGTTTCCCCGGCAACGGCGCCAAAAACTTGATCGGGCTGAACTTGCAAGTGTACAAGTGCCGATATAGTAATAAATTCCGGTAAAATACCGGGTCGAATCCACAGGGAAACGTTGTTTAATTTAGTCCGCGAGTAGATGACTTTGAATAAGTAAATGAGTAAAGTGTAGGGATTTTGAGTTGTGTGTTGTTGTGAAAACAACAACTTGGTTCTTCTTTTTAATTTTCAGAGATATAACTTGAATTAATTTGATTAAAGTGATTGATAACAACAACTAAGGCTTCGGGAATCACTTAAATGCTTTAATAGGGTTGAATATTAGTTCTTTACCAATAATTATGAATACGATGTCGCTAATATATTCTCAACTCCGGTTAAGGCAGCGAGAGCGTGGTTTTCGTTACGTGTAAGTCCCGTTACGGCTTACATTCATCTACCGAAAACCCCGTTGAATATCAAGACATCACACCCGTATCATATAATACCGGATATATTTCTATTCTCGGTAATATATATGTTTATCCTTTAATGTTCATAGTTTAGACCTCAACGTTAATTGCAAGCATAAACTAAGTTTAACATACTTCTATGTTGTACACCATAGTCATAAACAATCAAAATGTAAAGGATAAATCACAATTTATTGGTTTAGAACTTTTATCAAACACCTAGTGGGCATAGAAGTTCATCCCTAGCCTTAGCTAAGAACTTAGCCTCTAATGCTCATATTAATTACAAAAGTGTAACTAAGATAAAGGAAATACAATAACATACAAGAAATAATACCTAGAACCAATTGTAGAGGAGAGAAATGGCTTCTTCTCCAACACTTCAAGAGAATGCAAAAATAAAATATAAAAACTGAAATTTAAGCTTCAAGGATGGATTGATGATCTTGTTTGATGAATTGGGGGCTTTATATAGGCTCAAGATTGACATCTTTTAGTCTATTCGAGCCCAACAATCAAGCATGGAAGATATATTTGATTAGCTCATGAGGAAGGTGAGTTTTTTCCATCAAAATATTTCAGCACGTTCTTTTGTATTTGCAGGATCAGACCTACCCGGCGCCGGGTTCAGGCCTACCCGGCGCCGGTTCTTCATTGTGCGCAGGGAAATATGAAATTTTGGCCTACCCGGCGCCGGGTATAAGGCCTACCCGGCGCCGGGTAAGCTACTGGTTTGTGTACATGTGAAAATCAACAAACGGGCGCCGGTTTGGTGCAAATTCGGTGTCGGTTTTGTCCTGGGATTTTGGGGATGTTCCGCTACGAATTTGGACATGATTCCTTCACCAAAGTTGTAGATAATGAAGTCTTCTATCCAACAAAACTTGAATGACATGATTTTATTCAGCCAATCAAGAGATATGGATAAAACACTGAGAGGTATGCATCCTGAAATCCCACCAGCAACATCTGACTTTGTTGGTTGATTGAGTCTTGTTCCTTTCATATTTTGGTCATGACGTCTTCATAACATTTGTACCTTATTGAGTTAGCATTCACATGAAACTCGAATCGAGTGATTTCGAGTTCTATAGAATACGTTATACTCAAATTATGGGCAGAACGTCATTCTCTTGGTCCAAAAAGTCGTTCATCGCAATGTTTTATGATCAAGCTCTCATTCTGGAGGTATTTGCCCGATTTCTCTTCTTTTCTTCAACAAATACTTATAAATACTTATGTTAAACACAAGTAAATATAACGGCTATCAGCATGCGAACCAGACTAGTGTCTTAGCATACATCACGTTGAAATAATAGTGCCACTTCTTCATTATTACCAATATGGTAAAATTGTGCGTCCTATATAGTATTATCAACATGTATGATTTGACTTTGGTAGTGTTTAGTGCGAAGTAAAATGTGAAACAAAGTTCAAATTAAAGGGTATTGGTTTAAGTGGTTGGTGATAAAAATTAAAAATAAATGTGCTAGGAAACTTAATTACAGTATTTGTGATTTGATTTGTGAGAACCTTCTCCTAAAGGCAACATTTTGTTAGGAAATAATGGTTTTGTACTTTTGTTAGCCATCTTGAACATGATTGATCTCCATAAAGTTGATCAATTTCATCTTATCGTAAAGGAAGAAGCAGAAACTGTTGTTAAATAAATATGTGCACCTCATTAAAACGCCTTATAAGCACATTCTTGGTGACCCTTCCAATTCCAGAGCCACAATCTGTAGAATTAAGGAAAAGTGAGTTCCTAAACCAACAAGGGATTTAACAAAGTTACTTAGTTGCATTATTTTACATTTTACAAATATTGGTTCAGTAATCAGCAATCAACACTCGAATACGACAAAATATGTTAATTGTTCCCGCTACAGGGTATTCATGAATGCTTCTGGAATTCAAATCATTTTTGCTCGAATGGGAAACCAGATTTTGCTCGAGAAATCCCTTATTGAAGTTTTTCAAATGAATATAAATATAGTAAGTTAGTAACGAAGTAAAAAATCCAAAACTAGTACCAAGAGCAACGATGCGGGAAGCCGGGCTTGCAGCGTCCCTCTGAGCTAGAAACCTTTCAGCCAAAATGGTAGTGACAAATGCATTACTTTCAGCTACGTCCGCATCATTCACATCTGCATACCCGCCTAGCACTCCATCGACGATTGCTTCCACATTCTACTAATTACCAGTGATCCTAATCGTGAGAATTGAGAACAAATATGCATATATAACGAGGAGATCATTGAGGGAAAAGAAAAGAGCATTGCCTCCCAATAACGAATGGCAAAGCTTTACCACTTAGATTTGTTTCCATCATCTCCTGCTTCTTCTCTCCACATCTCCTCTACATTTCAGAGTCAAGCCCGCCCGCATCCATGTAGTAGAGATTTATGTTCCCGTCCTTATAACAACAATTCGTTCTTACTCAACTTCTGCTTCCTAACAGGCCGCCGCTGCCATATCTTTCCGGAAACAAATGAGGCAAAGCAAGTACAACACTGCAGCCAGTCACGGTCGCGGGGTAATGTGGCTTGTGCGTTTGGAACTCTAGCCATGGTAGATCTATTCACTTAAAGGAGATTTCAGATTTCATATTTCAGATCTCTGAACCCTTTCACTTGCTCCTGCAGTACACCTATGTAAATTTCATAGAAGAAGCCTGAAATAACTAAACCATATTGGTGAACATAGGGATATACTTAATCACATTATCTTCATTTGTTATCTTCATTTGTTTGAAAAAGAAAGATTCAAGAGAGTAAATTAATGACATCATTAACATAAGTCCATTTAAGCAGAAATTGAATATATACATACGGATTACGACAAGGTATACACTCGAGAATGGTTGCTAACACAACTTGTGTTTTTATCTGACACTTATTAGTAGCTTCAAGATAAAAATCATATTTCACCAGCCCAATAATATCATATTAAGAAAAAAGTAAACTTCTACCTTACTCAATATCTTAGATGAAGTATATATTAAGTAGAAGGGAAAAATGAAAAGAAACAAGTTGATATGATGTTCTAAATAATTTCAGCACATTTCATCCTTTATGAAAGAACATATAATAGTAGTGTAACTTTTACAAGCTTTAGCTTCTAACTTTGGTTTCTTGCTAGACATTGGTTTCTTTTTCGGTTACATGAACCCTTTCATTTTTGTGTAACCCCAATTGTCATCTTATTTTTCGAACCAAAACCAAATTGGTACCCACTTTCATCCTTTTCTAGTATTATCATTTAATCTGAACAACTCTTAAAATACTGAATCAAGCTGTCGACCTTTGATGGCAGAATAGATCAAATTCATCCAAATTGAATTAAGACACAATACAACGGACAGATTGAACAGAGGTAGATAAACTAAATTAAAACATGATTATGTCCTATTCATTGAAGCATATGATAAATCTGATGAGGGCCACCAGAAAAACCCCAATATCAAACCAAACAATTAAGAACCGGCATGGAAAGATGCAAACCTGGGAGCCATGGAAAGGATGGGAGTATTTTTGGGAAATAATTAAGAACCTGCCTGAATTAAGAACCGGTCTGGAAACAAAATTAACTTCAAATCAGTGAAACGTATATATGATAAGATGATTAATAAGATATATTTGGGATAGATTAAGAATGGTACTTGGAATGAACCCAAATGATAATCTTAACTGCTAAATTAGCAATAAAAAAATCCTACCAAAATATGGTTCTTACATGAAATTAGATAGTACAATCATACCTAATTTAACATGAATCTGGATTACAACAGAGGGTAGCGAAGCTTGGAGCCAGGAGATGTATGGTGTCACAGCTCTGAACCAGAAAATGTATGACACCAGCGAGATTATCTCTTAGAGTAAGATGCGGAGCCGACAGCTCAAGTGCTCGGTTGATGAAGACACGGCTGACGAGGAGAAAATTTTCTGAGGAAATATACTCCGTATATTTGAATCGCAGGAGAAGAAAATTGCAGGATACCCTTTGAATCTTCCAGTAGGTTTGACGATTAGTGAACTCGAAGACAATCCCTCACGAAGTTCAGATTAGCTAGCGAGGAGATGAAGTCAAGCGACAGGACCAAGGAAAGCCAAAAATTCATTCCTAACATAAATCGATTGAGGAGTTAGGGTTGGAAGGTTGCCGATGTATGCAGTCTGAAATGGGAGGGGGAAAAGAAGTGTAAAAAGGCCGGCCCGTTTGTAATGTGAACAGTGACGCGGGCCTTTAAGTTTACTCCGCAAAAAATGTAGAGTGTCACTAGATAATACTCATGTATTTAGTTAGATAACAGTGACACTTTTATGTCATTAAAAACATTTTTATAGCATTTTATAAAAAAGTGTCACTATCAAAGTGTCACTATAAGCAAGTTTTCTACTAGTGCCTTTTGCTGAGTCTGTGAATGTTGTATGTTCTGATAAGACCTCTTTGTGGCATAATAGGCTAGGACATATGAGCAATAAGGGTTTAGATGTCATGCGTAGGGCTAATTATTTTGGTAAGTATTCTGTGACTTCTGTGCCTTTCTGTGAATCATGTGTGTTAGGCAAGCAGCATAGAGTCAGCTTCCCTCCTTCCTCTTACCCTAATCTGTCTAAATGTTCGTCTGTGCTTGAATATGTTCATGCCGATGTTTGGGGTCCTGCCAGTGTTCCTACCCACGGGGATAGGAAATATTTCCTTTCTATTATTGATGATTTCTCTAGGAAGGTGTGGGTTTGCCTTTTAGAACACAAGTCTGATGTGTTTGTGAGGTTTAGGGAGTGGAAAACCCTAGTTGAAAACCAAACTGGCAGGAAAGTTAAGACCCTTAGGACCGATAACGGGTTAGAGTTCTGTAATAAGGAGATGAATAAGTTGTGTGTGGATTGTGGGATAAAAAGGCACAAGACTGTGCCTTATACTCCCCAACAGAATGGGATAGCAGAGAGAATGAACAGGTCTCTGTTGGATAAGGTTAGAAGCATGTTAGCTACCTCTGGTTTGCCCTAAGAAATTCTGGGGTGAAGCAGTTACTACTGCTGCCTATTTGGTTAATAGGTCCCCGTCTGTCCCTCTTGGTGGTAAGTGTCCTGAAACCGTCTTTACCGGTAAGCCTCTTGATCTGTCTAACCTTCGGGTGTTTGGTTGTGCAGCGTATGCACATCAACAGGGTGACAAGTTCGATCCTAGGTCTAAGAAATGTGTCTTCCTAGGTTATCCAGAGGGGGTAAAGGGTTACAGGTTATGGGATAGGAACCAGGTAGGCTTTAAAGTGGTCCTTAGCAGAAATTTGGTGTTTAATGAAACTGATTTTCCTTACTTGACCGAGTCTGTTTCTAATCCCGAGTCTAGGTCTGATAGTACTCCTAGTGAGGTGGAGTCTGTCCCTGTTGCTGCTAGTCTTTTATCTGTTGATCCTATTATTACTGATGATATTGTTATGCATGATTCTGATTCCTCTGAGCATGATAGTCCCACCACCTCGAGTGAGGTGGAGCATTTGCATGATACTGAGCATGATTTGCATGATATGGGTGCTGAATCTGATTTTCATGATAACAATAATTTGCATGAGTTGCATGTGGAGCCTAGTAATGATGATTTGCATGATTATCAACTTGCTAGAGATAGGAGTAGAAGGGCTATCAGG